CAGCCTTTTGAATAGGACCTTCTTTAGGGATCAATTAGCATCCCTTTTGAATATCTGACGCGCTTCCTTCGTATGGTGGGTGTAAACATGCAAACCGGCAGATTACTATCCCTTCATTGCCAGAAACGCGTGGCGCAGGTACTTAAATACGAGTGAAGTCGACAGGCTGTCTAATAAATAGGTTGTGATTTGTGATTATATTAAATTGCATTATATATTTGCATTATTAGAAAAAAAGTAATGAAATTTAAGATCATCGTACAAGCAATATTCATCCACTCTATTTTAAAATTTTCAGAATATGCACCCTGTCTTGAAAACTGCATCAAACCGATTTTATGAGCAAAGTGTCTTTGTAAAATTGGCAATATTAAAAATTAAAAAGAAACTCAAGAGGAAACACGCTGTGAAGGACAAATTTCCTTATTTTACAGAGAAAAAAAAATGTAGTTTAATTCTATTTTGCATACTTCCTACTAAATGATTAATTTTTAATTTATTAAAAAAAGATCATATCAGATGAAAAATCTTCATAACATATTTGCTAACATGTGAATATTTTAATTTCTATACATTTATGTAGATACGTCGAATTTCGAAGACAGTTTTGTATATTGTAAAATTCTAATTTTTCTTTATAATAAACAATAATAGATATGTATAGTTCATATCAAATAAACTTTTAGTCACGTGATTAGGCTTGACCGGCACAGCGTTGCCAACTGTTACATATGTTCTTTTAATCAAAACGTTTTAGGAAACAAAAATTAATTAATTATAAATATAACAGTTTACAGCTACATTAACAAAACCCACCTTCTTAACAGCACTTAAGGGACATAAAAGGCCATTACAACCGTTTTCTCGTTCAAAATATTCTAATAAAGTTGCGATAAGTTTTTACGGCTATTAAGCTATCTTGTACACTTCGTACTAAAAGCAGTTCTAAAAAGAACAATGTTCGACTGCAAGATCTGCTAGTTAAAATTTTTAAGATTAAAATATCACAACACAATTCATTTAAAACTGGCAATACAAAACTAAAATGTCAAAACGAATGACAATGTCAGGAAATAAATAAATAAATGTGCCATAAATTTTTACAGCAGAGCTACCATGAATGGCTACCTGAATGAGCTACCTGAATACCTGAATGAATACCTGAGCTACCTGAATCTCCAGCGGGAAATTTCAATTTCAGTTAATTTTATTTTTCAGAAACTATTAGAGACAGAGTTTACCAAAAATGCTTTTTATAACTACTAGCGGGTAAATGAATTTGTAGATATATTACGAATTTTTTTGGAACTTTAGTTTCGGAGATATAAATTTAATCGGACCTTTTTAAAAAAAACAATTTTATTTTTCAGAAACTATTAGAGACAGAGTTTACCAAAAATGCTTTTTATAACTACTGGCGGGTAAATGAATTTCTAGATATATTACGAATTTTTTTGGAACTTTAGTTTCGGAGATATTCATTTAATCGGACATTTTTATTCAATTTAGTTATGGATGATGTAATGAAAGAAACCAGACGAGAGACATCTAAACTTCTTGTAGGGTACCAAAATATGCAGCCTGTGTGGATCAATGAATGCGCTTTCGCTGACGACATCGTTATATTTGCTAGGAACGAAACAGAACTTAAAAGAAATCTCAATACATGGAACAACAAATTATCTTCAAGGAAACAACCTTAAAATAAATGAGAAAACAAAAACCTTAAAATAAATGAGAACAAAACAAAAATAATGATTAGCGGAAAGAGTGAAGAAATGGTTAACATAGAAATAAATGATCAAATAATAGAGCAGGTAAATTCTTTCAAATATCTGGGAGTCCAAATAGAAAGCCAGGGACATCAAAACCAAGAGATAACTGCAAGAGTCCAAAGCGCTGCAAATCTATACCATAGCATAAAGAACACATTTCTAGGTAAAAAAGAGGTATCATTGAAGACCAAAATCAGCGTGTTTAATTCAGTATTCGTACCAATATTAACATTCGGTAGTGAGAGTTGAGTTCTCACCAAGAGACAAGAAAGCTTAATACAAGCAGTAGAAATGAAATACCTACCTACGAAAAGTGCTAGGTGTTACGAGGATGAATAAACTACGTAATTCCCATATTAGAGAGCAGCTGAAAGTCCAGCCAGTACTAACAACTATCGAAAACTGCCAGTTGAGCCAATGTCCTTACCACACACATTGGGAAAAGACTCAACAAAGAGAGACCAGTAAGAAGAGTATGGGAGGCAAAGGCAAGAAAAAGGGAAAAGGGTAGACCTGCAACTACTTGGGATCAAAATGTTGCAAAAATTACTTAGAACTAGAGGGATCGGCTGCGCCGAAGCAGTAACATGGCCCTGGACAAGAAGAATTGGCAAAATTTTTATTTATGGAAAGTAGCTACTAGAAGCCTACACCTTCGGTAGAAGGCCTTCGATTATATATATATATATATATATATATATATATATATATATATATATATATATATATATATATATATATATATATATATATATACATATATATAGTCAGCCCAGCTACTACAACTATGTTCGAGGTTGTCAACAAATGAATTTAAAAATCACGCCGCCTATTACGTAACTAAAAGTTTACTTATATACAAATATATCATATCTAATAAATTGTCTTATGGAAACTAATGTCTAAGTATTAACGCAATATCTCAAAGATTTTTTTATTCAATAAAATTTCCAAACAAAACTCAATTGAAAATATTATTTCATCACTAAAGAATTTTAATAATTTAGTGTATAATTTCATAACTTTCCATTCGTTTTACAAAAGAATTTTTTAATTTTTATCACCCAAAAAACCATTTTAGAAAGATATCAGCTTTTGTCTTAAAATAATTTTATTTTTGGCACGTATTAGACACGAAAACTTTAGTTTATGCAATTTTCAGCACAGCCATAAATATATTAAGGCTCAGTTATTAACCCTCCCGTTGTTATTTTAACTGATGATGCCATCGCAGAAATCCTCTGTAAATATTAAACTTTCTTAGTATTTAAAAATTAAAATATTAAATATTTTGAAAGCTTTAAAAAAACAACTTTACTTAAGGAAGAAATGTCTGATGCAGCAACTTTATACTAAAATTTATACCAATAACATAGGATGTTTGACATACTTATGAACTAAGAAAAAACATTATACTTTAATAAAAGCTTCTTTCACACGATTTATTTATTTAAATATGAATTTAAATTTTAAAAACAACGACGCAAAAATTATAAGAAATAAAATACTAGAACATAATTTATAAGATCATACCAAGCATTGACTTTTACTGACTTTAAAATTTATATTTTCCTTTAATCAAAATATTTTAGAAAACAAAAATAAATTAATTATAAATATATAAACAATTATTATTTACATCAACAAAATTCACCTTCTTAACAGCACTAAAGGGACATAAAGGGCCATTACTACCGCTTTCCCGTTCAAAATATTCTAATAAAGTTGCAATGAGTTTTTTGCAACGGCTGTTACCCTGTATTGGTAATACGTTTATTAATTACTAATCAGTGAAGCTCAGGAAGGTGGATCCGTAGCCGTCTAGATTAACTGGTGCTCTACATTGTCTTCCAGACCCTAAAACCCCGGAATCTCGCGCGAGACGGCCGACAAATCGCTTTGGATCCCGGGGGATCAGAGATGTGAAGGTCTGGAATATTATTTTAAATAAGGACTGACACCAAAGGGCGTGACGCGACGAGGGAAATAATATATAGGTCGGTCGCATATATATTATTATATCTTTTGTTATTCAGGGGGGCCAATTTGTGACGACTACAGGGAAAGAAAACAATACTCAAATAACAAATGACATCTGACATTTTTATAAATGACTTAAAGTTCCCCAATATTATAATAATCAGCATCATATATACGTTATACAGGGTGTCTCAGAAATAAGTGCAAGTATTTTAACTGTTAGTATATTTCGACCCCAGAAACACGCCTATAGGTTATTTTCGCGAAAAAAAAATGTTAAAAATCTTATATTTTTCTTGACATTTTCTGGGAAATTTTACAAAACTTTTTAGTGCCCCCCACTTGTTTATTCACTTAATATTTCTCTACGATGTATCTAAACCTTGCAGTGTTCTCACCTCCTACATTATCCATATTCAACATATTTGTATTCACTGTAATTTTAAATCTCTACACAAAAAATTACGAGTATTAATTTTACTCATATCATTACTACGTCTATTACTAATAATTCTAGAAACAAACGACATTATTTTTAAGCATACCACATTTTTATATTTATTTTTAACTACATCTGTACTAATATATAAAATCCTTAAGTGACTGACTCACTGATTAATCACGATCCTGCTCAAACCACTCAACGTAAGAAGCTCAATTTTGGCATACAGATTGATTCTAGGGTGTAGAGGTTCGAAAAGAAGGGATTTTTCTAAATTCCAGTTTCAACGGGGTGAAACCATCCCTCAAATATTACAATATATGTTTTATTTAAAAAACGGTCAAGTTTTCGAAAAAAACGCTTATACACGTAAATTTTATTTTGTTTTTTTACAAATTTTAAGATTTATTAAAAATGTATACAGGGTGTTTCGAAAATCTGGTCATTGATTAATCACGATCCTGCTTAAAGCGCTTGACGTAAAAATATGATTTTTAGAAAACGGATTGACTTTAGAGTGTAGAGGTTCGATAAGAAGAGATTTTTCGAAACTCGAATTCTAAGGGGTTGAAACCACCCCTCAAATATTAGAATATTTTGTATTTAAAAACCGGTGAGTTTTTCGGAAAAGCTCTTAAACACGTGTATTTTATTTTGTTGTTTTACATATTCAAGTATTAATTTTAAAATTTTATTTAGGCAGTTACAGAGCTGGGGTATCTTGTCATTAAATATAACGATTTATCATAGGAAATAATGGTAAGTAATATCAAAAATGCATTTTTAAGTACTACTATAATTACCTTGTCTCGAAATTCGCATCCGTTGCCACAACATTCCATTTCCCATCATCACCCAGTTTTTCCACAGCGAGAAAAGTCTTTTCCAGCATCAGATCGTTTCTGGGATGCCCCGCTATCTGAAAACCGCCATTAAATGTTAAATAACAAACGTAAGTGTATCTACAATACCTCCCAAAGTACTAAAGCCACAGCGCTTACAACTTTAAAAAATGTGAAATATTATGTGCAGAATACTAGACTTGTGTGTTTCTTTAAAAACTACCTCATTTAAATTTGTTAAGCAAAAATTCTAGTTTAGGTTGTATTCCGTTATGAAACCAGGTTACCTAGACTGATCTTAAAAGTGATCAACTTAGAAAGACTTTTCCTTGAATGATCAAACGAGGAATATAATATTTGGTGCCACGCATTATGTGTCCGAAGTAGCTAACCTTGCTGGTCTTGACGGTGGTTAAGAGTTCCCGATCTTTATTTAGCTGTTCAAGAACTTCTTGGTTGCTGGTATGTTCGGTCCAAGAAATCTTAAAGATTCTCCGGTAGCACCACATTTCAAAGGCTTCTATTTTATTTATATTCTCTACTTTTAGCGTCCATGTCTCGCATCCGTAAAGAAGAGTGGACCATCTGTAACAACGTAGTGCTCTTAATGGGGTTTGCAGTGGACAGTTTCTATTAGTGAGCATGGTATTCCATTTTTTGTATGTTTTACATGCCATTTCAATTCTTGCCTTTACCTTTTCGTCACATTAATTTTCACTATTTAACCAGCTTCCTAAATATCTTAAAATATGGTACTTGTTCAATATTGTATTCGATGATTTTTATCTGGAATGGATTAATTTGTAATTTACCCACAAACATCCATTTCGTCTTCTTGATACTTATATTTATACCCCGTTTGCAACTAGCTTCATGTACCCTGTCTAGCAGCGTTAACAAGTCTTCCATGCTTTCTGCGACAATGGCGGTGTCGTCTGCGTACCTTACGTTATTTATGATCTCGCCTCCAATTTTAATGTCTTCTATTCTGCCGGATATAGCCTGGTTAAAAATGTTCTCCGAATACAAGTTGAATAGTAACGGTGACAAAACACACCCCTGTCTTATTATTGGGTCATTTGTCATTTGTAGTTCCGTCATCGACCTTAACAGCAGCAGTTTGATTGTAGTATAAGTTTACTAAAAGGCGAAACTGTATGACGAGTTATAACTCAAGAACGAGGACACAATAGATTTATAAGGTCGCGGTGATTATACTCTGTTTTTTTTCTCAGATAAGATTTCGACAGACGATGACAGAAGAAAAGCAGATGACGTCCATACCAATCTATTTATTTTACTAAAAAAAAATCTAATATTTTTTAAGTTAACTATAGATGGGTTTAAATATAAATCCGTCATGCGTCGTATCTTGTTGTTTTTAACCAGTTTTATTGGTTTATTTCAAAAATGACAGATCATATATCAATTTTATTGGTTTGATGGAACGATGAACGACAAACGGACGCCGATGCGTATGAACTCGCCTTTAGATTTTTGAGGCTTGTCAAAGTCTTGCCAAATTATAGGTTATAATTTTGTGTCAACTTATGTCAAATTCCCTGCCTGTTTTGGTATTGCTATTACGTATGTTTTGTGTTTTTTAAAGTGAGGTGGAGGAAAAATCGAGGGAAAATTAACTGTAGACCCAGAGCACAGTTTATAGTTAATATTCGGTGCCCAGGCAGAAAGTCTTATACACCTATAAAGTTGCCATCAATAAAGTTTGTATACCATCTCGTCATAGATAAGTGCATCTCGTATATGGTACAAGAATCGTACTAAACATATACTAAAAATTGGAGTAGCTTTAAAATAACGATGACATCACACGATAGGTAAATAATGGATTTTAGTACTGCAGAAAAATAATGTCAAAAGGTACTGGTTTAAAAAAATTAAGATTAAAGTTAATTAATCAACCTTTAAGGTATAAAATTCGGAAAATGTTGTATCACTTCTCACTCAAATTTTAAATATATTAATTTCCTATTATGCGTTCTAATTGTTACCAACTTATTTCTTTGTAAAATAAAATAAACTACTTTGAAATTAAAATGACAGACACATCTATCACTGTCAAGAATCTTGTCGTTGGATAGACTATAGATTTCCCCCTCCCATACAATCTACTATCTTCCTTCAATTTTTCTTTCAAAAAAGATCGACTATTAATATGACGTCAGACGGAAAGGCGTAAGCCTCAGTACTTAGGAGGTATTGGACATAGTATTATCGACGTAGAACTTACGAATTTAACCGAGACGGTGTCGTTCACTTTAACCGATTTCGGCGGCTGTTGCAGGACGTCGCCGAAGTTCCAGAACCAGCCGGAAGAGTCGAAAATAACGGGGGTGATCAGGGATAACAGCTTGGATTTGTCGGGATCGTCTGGAACGGGACCGGCGTCCACTTTCTGGCCCTGGAAAAATACGAGAGTGAAATGATGCGCAATAATATGATGTGTATAAAAGGAAATATGGAAGCTGTTCGTGCAATTTTGTGTAAAATAAATCAAATGTTTTTGGTTAACGCCACTAGATTTGCGTTAAAATGTTTTATCTCATGTTAAGTCCAAAATTGGCATATTTGAGTCACTCCAATAGATTTTGGAACAATTTATTTAAAAAACTGTTTTACATTTCATTTAATTTAAATAATAAGTTAGTCGTATACCAAATATTACAATTATAGGTTTAAACATAACCGAGTAATTAGAAAATAACTTCAAAAAAGAAATTTAAATTCGTTTTTCTCAAAATTGTGTTTTGTGACTTTACATACAGGGTGTCCCAATATTCCGTGGACATAGCACTACTACGTATTTTTGAAATCAAAATAAATTCATTTTACACAATTTACCTCTATACAAAAGTTCCTCGTTTGTCCGCTAGACAACAAACTTTAACAAAATAAACATATTGTTTTAGATATTTTAAGAACCGTTATTCCGATTTGAATGAAATTTTGGGTGTCTATGTTTTGCTAAGTGCTCTAACATTTGTCTTTCACAAAAATCAAGAAAAAATACGGGAAGTGTGAAAACTACCCCCACCCCTACATAAATTTTAGTAGAAACTCCACCGACGGCCGATTTTCTTTTCGTAAAATGGTCCCTCTAGTATTTACTACATTTTTTGTCTCTTTTAAAAAAACGCCACAGCGCACAGTAGGCGAAGGCGGATGATACGGCGAGACAAAACCTCCTATTTTTTAGCCCCTTTTCAAGACTTTATTACTGAATTAAAGTTAAAAAACTTTATCCTGCTCGATACATCTCGAAATAACTTCGTAGTAGGCTTTGAGTATACCATAAACAATTGAAAGTGTCAGCAACATTTTGTACCCAAGCGAGCGTTTATTTTGCATGTACAGGCGAAACAAACTTGACACTAATTTTTGAGTGAAGTTATTTTTAAAATAAAACATATTGTGATGGTTGAATATAATAGAGGTAAGTTAGCTTCAGATCATTATAGATTTTAATTATTATAGTGGTTGCTTAGTTTACACTCTTGCCTTTTTGGACTGATATATAATTACTTATTTTTTTTTATAAATTTGCCAATTGACAGAGGTGGAAATACAAAGTAATCCAAAGTACTATTTAATTCTCATTTTAAATAAAGCTTTATAAATCGCTCTTGGACATAATGTCAAGATCACTTGCCCGTTCTTGCCCGTTTAGCCGTTTTTAACGATATTTCACTGTTGCTGCAGTGAAGCTAGTCAAATCTTTTAGTGCATTTGTAAAAGGAATAAATTCATAACTTTCGAACCAAAGCAGATATGAATATACGGTTTTCAGATTTATGATTAGTAAAATATGTTCTACTTTTTAATATGCTTTTTTTTGTTGGTAAAAATTAATGGCGGATCCAAATGGCAGACTTTTTATTTATCAATCGATTTGTCTCAAATTTGGGGTATGAAATATTACTTTATTAATAGAGGCTTACAACTAACAGCATAAAAATAAAATAAATAAAAACACTTTTTTAAGTTAAACGAGTTCCACGTTTAAGTTAAAGAATTCCACTAAAAAGTACAACTTAAGTACAATCAAGTACAGGGTGTTCATTTATAATGTGCCTCCCTTTAACTTCTTTGTTTTTCTCATTAGAAAAAAATGTTCTAGACAGAAGTTGTAGGGTTAAATGTGAACTATTTGCACAATATATTTTTTCATATACAGGGTCTTGTATAAACGCGTGACAGGTCAAAATTATATATTTTTAAATGGAACACCCTGTATGTTATTACAATTTTAAAACCTTCACAAAATTTTAATTACTTTTTATATAATTATTCACAGGCATTTCATATAATTATTCACAGGCACATTCATATCCGCAATTATTAAATTTAAGCATAGGTCATATTATATAAAAGTACTTAAAATTTTGCGGATGTTTTAGAAATGTAATAATATACAGGGTGTTCTATTTAAAATATATAATTTTGACCTGTCACACGTTTACGCAAGACTCTGTATATGAAAAATATACGCTGCAAATAGTTTACATTTAACCCTACAATTTTTGTCTGTAACATTTTTTCTAATGCGAAAAACAAAGAAGTTAAGGGGGCACATTATAAATGAACACCCTGTACTTGATTGTAGATTGTAGGTTTGTATTTAAATTTGTAGCCTTATCCTTATTTAGACTGTAGATTGTAGCTTTGTACTGAATTAGCAGCTTTAGTTTATTTTGCAAATTTTTTAAACGTGTTAATACAACATGAGTTCATTAAACTAGTATTTTATGTATTTAGTCAGCTTTTGTTTTCCACAAAATCAATATTTTTGACATATTTTGAAAATAATAAACATAACTAGATAGTTTTATATAGAAATTATTAAGTTGCGTTGAATCAGATTGCCCTAGAAGTTTCGTCTTACTAGCGCCCGGTCTCCCGCCCACTGTGCAGCGCATACTTTTTAAGGAAAAAAAAATTCCAAAGCTGACTGCCAAAAAATGTATTTTGTCACATCAAGCTATGGAGGCGCGTAAAATCTATAATAATAATAGCTCCCGTATATAGCGTTTAACGCCTTGGGAGTAGCAAGGTACAGCTTGCCATACTAGAGCCCTTCGGTATACAAGGAAGATAATGTGGTTAGCACTACGCTTCAACCGCCTATTATTACCTCAGGATTGTGAATCCCAAGTACTCATTTAAGGCTGAGTCGACCTAGGTACCCAAACTATTTTTATTTTAATAAAAATAGTCGGCTGACTCACAATGACGAGGTGTGGGAGTCGAACCCACCAAACCACTACCTTGATTGGTGGGCAGAGAGCCTGTACCTCTACGCCACCCGGGCACCTTTATACAGGGTTGTTCACCACATCGTGTTTCTTTTAGTATTGTAGCCTTTTTTGATAGAGACTTTTTTACAAATTGTAAGTTTTGGGTTCGATGAAGGACTATTGAGTGGGTACCATTTAAAAATAATTTTCGAGATACAGAGTGTCCCAAATAAATAAAAATATCGAAAGAGTTGTATTTTTTTAAATGGAACATCGCATATATATTATTACATTGCCATTTCTACGATTAAAATAAAGCAAATTTGATTAAGATTTATTATACTTAAACCGTTTTTGAAATATTTTTCAATTTGTGAAATTGCAGAAAAGCTTTAGGCTTCATTTCTCCAAAGGCTATCAAAGTTTTTTAATACTAAATATTTACTGAAGTTTATTTACTGATCAGTTATTGTGTTGCAGGCAATGAAAATAATACTACCTTATACAGAGTGTCTAAAAATTTATTTTAAATAATTATTAGCTTCAAACGGCAATAACTTGTTTAATTTAAATGGAACACCCTGTATATTTTACGAGAATCAGATGCACAATTTAATTGTCTATCAAATTATATCATACCATTTTTTACCTATCTCTTTAAGTTTCCGTAGAAAATGTATTTTCTTGTAATTTAGAACTTATTTATCAATATACCCATGGACTATTGACATTTTAGATTATTTTTAAAGATGAACCAAATTTTTAAAGAGTACAGATACTAATATTGTCGATATAATTAGTTTATTTCATTAAAAAATAAGAAAAATTGTTTAAATATTTATTAAAGAGGATCAATTAATATGATTCCAGTATTCAAACTACATTAACTGACTGTTTGCGTTGATTAATAATAATTGCTCCAAATACTAAAAAACTGAATTTTGTATGGGCATTAGACAGTGTGATAAAAAGTAACACCTTAAAAATGATATCTCATTTTTTAATAAATGCTTATTTATAACAACAGAGACTTTAATTTGATAACTTATTATATTGATTTCTGACTCAAATCCATATTTATTTATAATAATTTATTAACGAACACAATTAAGTATGTAATTAATTAGTATATGGGCGGAAATAATGGTGTTATATTTAATTAATGGTATACTCTTTTATAAATATTTAAATAGTTTTCTTTTTGCATACAAATTTCTTTTTGCATACAACATACTGTTTTAGCAAAACGATAATATTACTAGCCTGTACATTTTGTACATTTGTTGCTTTAAAAACAATCTAAAATGTCAATATTCCATGGATATATTGATAAATGAGGTCTAAATTATAAGAAAATGCATTTTCTACGAAAACTTGAAGGGATAGGTAAAAAATGGTATAGTACAATTTGATAGACAATTTAATTGTGCATCTGATTCTCCTAAAATATACAGGGCATTCTATTTAAATTAAAGAAGTTGTTGCCGTTTGAAGTTAATAATTATTTAAAGTAAATTTTTAGACACTCTCTATAAAGTAGTATTATTTTTATTATTGCAACACAATAACTGATCAATAAATAAACTTCATTAAATATTTAGTATTAAAAACATTGATACCCTTGGAGAAATAAAGCTTTAAAATTTTTACTGCAATTTCACAAAATTGAAAATATTTCAAAAACGTAATGTTTAAGTATAATAAACCTTAATCAAATTTACCTTTATTTTAATCGTAGAAACTAAAAATGTAATAATATACAGGGTGTTCCATTTAAAAAAATACAACTTTGATATTTTTTATTTATTTGGGACACTCTGTATCTTGTAAAAATATTTTTAAATTGTAGCTCTAATAGTCCTTCAACGAACCCCAAACTTACAATTTGTAAAAATCTCATCGTTTAGCTACAATACTCCGTGTCGTATGTGGTGAACAACCCTGTATAATATAAAATCTATTATGCTCTAATAATCTAGATGGCAAAAATATGGAACTTTATGTTAGTATCACAAATTATATTTGACAATAAGCTTTATAAAGACCTTTAAAAAATTAATAATTTTTAAATTAATTAACGTTCGTGTTTCTTTAGATTGATGCCCTCTAACGGACAAACGAAGCACTTTTGCATGAAGGTAAATTATGTGCAATTAACCGATTTTGATCCAAAAAATACGTAGCTGTTCGATCTCTACGGAAGCAGAAATTTACGCTATCGAAAGATGCGTACAATTTATCTTAGATAGGAATTATCGAAAACAGGAAATTGCCATCCTATCCGATAGTCAAGCAGCACTTAACGCGATCAACTCAGTAACCATCAATTCGAAGTTGGTCAAAGAATGCCTAGAGAGAAGCTTTAGGAAGAAGAAGATTAGGCAAAGAAAATAAAGTCCTCCTACTCTGGGTGCCTGCTCACCAAGGGATAGAAGGCAATGAAAAAGCAAATGATCTAGCTAGAAAAGGAGCGAACACTCCACTAACTGGACCAGAACCGTTCTGTTTTCCAAACGGGAACCCACTAAAAGCGGAACTGAAGAATCTGGAAGACTCCATCCGTAACTTGGAATGGATGTCCTCCAACGGTCTAAGACACTCGAAAAAGTTCCTCAGCACTTACGACCGAGAAAGAAAGTAAAAACAATCTTCGGATTGTCACGGGGTTTCTAACAGGACACTGTCTCCTCAACGAACACCTCAGTAGGCTGAAACTGAGAAACAACGGCGAATGCAGATTTTGTGGGGAAAATGGGGAAACACCAGAACACCTTATCACTGAGTGCGCCGAGACGACGACCTTTCCTGCCATGAACCTTGGTACGTCCGATGTCGAGGATGGTGAGCTGGCCTTTGTCGAGCCGTCTCAGATACTGGCTTTTATTAAAGCCCTGAGACTGTATGATGAGTTATAACTCGTTATAACTCAAGAAAGGGGAACACACAATAGATCTATAAGGTCGCGGTGATTAACTCCCCTCCTAAACATTCTACATTCTACATCTCTACCGAATATTGGAACTTCCTGTATATTTTGTAGGTCTACTTTGGAAAAATAAATTCTCCAAAAGTTTTTTTCACATAAACTATGCAATATAGCGTTTTTTACAAGGGTCAAAAAATGTAGTAAATACTAGAAGGACCATATAAAAATACTTAGTAGTTCTATGACCCCGGAATATTGGGACACCCTGTATATGCGTGGCAGAGTATGACAGACTCCACGTGGACTTGACAAGTATGTCACCACAAAACACACTCCGCCCACTCATTACATTAGCTACTTGTCAATTTGTCGAATTTTTATTGACAGAACGCATCGTATAATTTTTTACGAGAAAGATCGATTAAAACGGTAGTAGACCGAGCTCGCAGAACAATGCAGTCTTTATCGGTAAAATAGTTGCATGATTTAATTGACTTTTTAATGTTTTTCTTCTTAATTTTTAAAATTTTATAAAGATTATATATGTTATTTACCTAGAAAAACATTGAAAAAAAAACTGATTTCGTATTTTATCATTACCAAAGTGCAAATAAATTCCTCAAGAGAAAAAAAACTTTATAAAATTAATTGTAAAATTAAATATATAAATAATTCGGAATTATTTCAAAAATAACTCGATTTGCACACAGGTGGTGTCCCTGCTTGAAATTTTCACAAATATTTTGCTTACCTTTATCAAAGCTTCCGCCAACGTTTTGTAAATCGACAGATAAATTTGAAGTGTGTGCGGGCCAAAAATAGTCGAGGCCCCTTCGTAACGCTGAAGCTGAAAAAAAAATAGATAAAAATATTTCAGATTATTCAGAAAATATATATAAAATCAATCGATTCATAAAGAAAACAAATAATTTTGTCTTTGGTATAACAAACAACGAATTCCTGAGCGTAATTTTAAAAATATGCTGTTTAGAATCTGAATCCAGACTAGCAAATATTGTATTTTATAACGACTAGCTGATGATTGCATTACTCACTGTATACAACTATTTACAACGATATACAGGGTGATCCGAACTATATTCCGGAAACTGCGGCAGCATATTCTGCAGATAAAAATAAGTAAAAAAGTTCGTATAAATGTATGTCCTAAAATGCTTAATTTCGGAGATACAGGGTGTAGAAGTTTTATTTTTATTTCGATTTTTTCCAAATAATTTCTGAAGTAACGTCAATATTGGGTTGAAAATTGGTGTCTGGGAGTTTTTTGACATGAGAAATTTGATTTTGATGTCAATATGACTCATACTAGTAGAGGGCGCCACCTACATATTTTTTAACTGGTTTGAAGAGTAATAACTTTTCGTCCGTACCTGTATAAAACTACTGAGTAAAAAATATACATTTACGTCTTAGTTATTAGACTGAGATCATATATTTGAAAGTCTTTGTGCCAAAAGTTCAGCAGAAACTGTTTTATCATCATTTTTTGCAGAAAAATTTATGATTAATTTAAAAAAATAAAAATTTCCCAAATTTATTATTTCAGTGAAATAACTATCTACTCAACGTGTTTATTTTTCGTCAATAATGACATGTATTGACTATTTCCATTCTAAATATCTTGAGAACGGTTACTCGTAGCGATTTTTACAAAGAGATATATATTTTTTTCCTTTGTAGTTTTATACAGGTACGGACAAAAAGGTATTACGCTTCAAAACAGTTAAAACATATGTAGGTGGCGCTCTCTACCATTAGGTGTCATATTGACATCAAAATCAAATTTCTCATGTCAAAAAACTCCTAGATACCAATTTTCATCCTAATATTGACGTTACTTCAGAAATTATTTGGAAAAAATCGAAATAAAAATGAAATTTCTACACCCTGTATCTCTGAAACTAAGCACTTTAGGGCATACTACACTTATACGAAATTTTTTACTTATTTTTATCTGCAGAATATGCTGCCGAAGTTTCCGGAATACAGTTTGGACCACCCTGTATATCAAAATACCTTTTTTGATGTAGAAAGAATTTTATTTATTTCAACCAGTGCCGTTCATACGGGTTTTACATTGAATATTTTTGGAGAAAAAGTGGTACACCACTGACTTAAAATAAAAATTATTTTAAAAAAATCTCCATTCATTTCTAAACATTTTTTATCTCATGATTTTTTTCGTCCTACGCATAATTTTTGGTTAAAAAAATTAAAGTCAGTTTACTTCAGAGTCAAATCGCTGAAATCCTGATGCGGTGACTGTTATTGTGTGGAAATCATGCATCGGCTGGAAGAAAATTAAGGAATAAAACGTTTTTTTGTATATCAAAATAAGGATTTTGATGCATGGAACACGTGTATCAAATATAACATCAGACATATTTTCAAAAAAAAAATAGAAAAATTTACCTCCCTGTATCTGAAAAATCAAGATGCTTAGGGCATATATTCATGAATTTTTTTTTCTTAGAATAGGTCCAAGAATCACCTCCTTAAATATTAGCATGACATTAAGAAACACCCTGTATATCTGTAAACTAAAATGGCAGACAGAACTGTAACTGTCAAATCTTCTAGCTGGATACATTATACATAAAAAAAAGTTTGGTTATCAAATAAAAAAAGATTTATCAAAAAAAGAAAAAAATAACAGAACTCAGGCATTACTAAAAGATTGAAAAAACAATTTTTTATTAAACTTTATGAACCACATGAGTATAAAAAGATATAGAATATTTCATATGAAATATAGAGTTTGATGAGTTTCTATTTTGACTTCTGTTTAAATTTGTATACATATTATGATTTGACATTCATATATGCGATGTCTCGAGAAGATAAACAAACAGACAAAAAATCGCGCGTCATATTTTGTAAATGAGTTCAATATTCCTACATCATTTATTATATTTTTATGTTACGTATTTTTATCATTAAACATTAATATTTTTCGTTTAAGTTTTAGCGAACAACATTTAAAAAAAGTTCCAGTTAAAAACGCAAATAAAAGTTGTTTGTATCACATTTATTATTTGTACGTATTTTTCGTTTACCTCGTTAACCCTTTGTAATGGGTTGAATCTTAGACAAATAATATAGAGCGACCAACAATGAATGAAATAGCCGGCTATTTGTTTGCAATTTTGCCCGTTATGTTGCTCATTAGTCCCAAAACAAACTAAAAACTAAATGATATCGTTGATTGAAAAAATTGGGAAGATACGCAAACTAATGAGCGAATTCGTGATAAGGTTGATTTGATTTCCCCTTACGTCTCAAGTGCTGTACGATGGAGATACCAATCGTTCTGAGGCCAACGCATAAAACACTTATTTTCTCTAATTCAACCAGCGAAATCATATAGAAGACGGTATAGAACTGAAAACGACAGTGTTGCCGTATTGAAGTGTGTAATATCTGTAATAAGTTTGACGAAAATATTTTTGGATGAAAAATCCACGTTTATGATTTGATAATTTATTCGTGTCAAACATAGAAAAAACAATAAAAAAAAACCTTTATAGGTACTGAATATGTCGTATGATTGAAAAAAAAACGTTAAGTTGGTGTGGAAATCACGATTGTTGACATTTACCATAATATTTTACAATATAAAATAACAGCGATCTTCATTTCCAAGCCAACTCTGAAGCCGCTCTTTATTTAATCACATAATATTATATTAAATTGTGTATTGATAGAAAATCCGTATAATTAACGTACTATACCCAAAATTCCTAAATCTACGGATTAATCAGTAGTTTTGGTAACACTGTCTCCGGCAACCACTCACTCTGTCGATTGAAAGCAGAACTACGGTATAGTATTCTTTATCCGCTGCGCTGTAAACGACTCAGCGCGCAGCGGCGCAGAACTAAACTAAATCTCGGACAGGCTGACGGTAACGCCAACTACATCTCGGACATGTTTGGTGCCGCGAAATCGCCCATAGGTTGCGCATCTTCTTATTTCTTTAATCAACGCTGATATGTTTAATTTTTCGACGATTTTTAAAATATTGCACACATTGTATTTCAAGTTTCTTCCTGTTTTTTATTAAATTTTCTTTTTAGAAGAATGATTTAGACTAAACAATTCCATAGCAAATACGGAGACCACAGGTCGGGAGATTTTTTCAAGCATTACCCAATTTTTTTCAATTTTGCCGAAAAACTACTCACCTATGCAAATTTTACGCTATAAAACCTTAAGGTCTCCGCTTGCGAAAATACCTACTCATATCAGCCCATATATCAAAGCGTTTTTCAATATTATAAGGTCTTTGTTTGAAAAAAAAAGGATGTTTTTTTATAAAAAGAGGCAGGAATAAAAAAGTATTACATAAGCCCTTTTATTTCCATAAAAAAAGTTTCTAATATTTTTTAAGTTAACTAAGGATGGGTTTATTCATAAATCCGTCATGCGTTGTCTCTTGTTATTTTTAGCTTTTATCTACTTGCGCTAAAAATCTTTCTGTGCGCTAAATTATACTTAATTATAATCTTGATTTATAATTTTTGATTTGTTGTAGATATATTAAAGTAGGGTACATACACACACCGGAAAAGTATAGGGATATTACAATTTTATCCAGCCATCGTCAGTAATTTTATTATTTGCATTTCTGATATAATAAAATTAAAATAAACAAATAGTTTACACGTATTGGAAATAAAAATGCGAAATTTACCGAATTTTTCAAATTTACCTTGATTTTTATTGAACTCAAAAAAATACACACATTTTTTTTTTATTCTAAACTGCGAATTAAAAAAAAAGATAAAACCATTTTTACTTAATAAAGGGTATGTCCTCCTCTACTGTTCATTACAGCCCTACATCGTCTCGTCTCTCCATGCTCCTGACCAGGTTGTCGATCTCTTCTTGAGGTACAGCCTCCCACGCTGCATTCACGGCCCGAACCAGATCCCTACGAGTTTCAGGAGGCATACCCATTCTCAGAATTCTTCTTTGGACCACGTCCCATACGTGCTCGATGGGGTTGAGGTCAGGAGATTGTGCCGGCCAGGGTAAGATGTTTAATTGATGAGCATTGATAAACTCACTTACCACTCTGGCTGTATGAGGCCGTGCATTGTGATGCATGAGAATGAAGTTTCTCCCAAAATCATTGGCATATGGTAACACGACAGGCTCAAGAATTAAATCACGATATGTGATTCCTGTTAGAAACCTTTCAAGAAAAACGAGATCGGTTTTCTACCTAACTGGACCCCCCCAGACCATAACTGTTCCACCTTGATAAGGGTGCACTTCCTGAACATGATCCAACCGAATAAGATTTCCCGGTTCTTTCCATACCCTAAGCCTTCTCGAATCCGGATGAATTCCAAAGCGTGACTCATCCGTGAAGAGAACATTGGCCCATTGTTCATTCGACCACTGAACATGATCTTGAGCCCACAAATATCGTACCTCTTGATTTCCTCTCGTTAAGGGTTGAGCTCTCCAGGGGCGTTTGCTTCTTAAGTTGACCTCTCTTAATCTATTGCGAACAGTGTCAGGACTAACGGTTACATTATGTGTTTCCTGGAGAATTAAACTAAGCTCTGGTGCTGCAAGAGTCGCTCTTTCAGCAACATCACCACTTTCACGGTAGCGTGCACTTAATCGCGATATTACACTTTGCGTTGTATTTAATGCTCTAGCTACGTCGATTTGGCGCATTCCAGCTTCAAGCATACCCATGGTCCTTAGCATTTCGTCTCTGTTAAGATGTCTACGCTCCATAATGTCGTTTAATACTAAACAGAGTTATTTGAATGAATTCTGGCCAGTTATCATAAAAACATAGCCAGTACA